CAAAATTTAAAGTGACTGGACATGATGTTTCTTATGACGCCTATAGGCAAAATTCAGTAAAATCTTCAAACTCTTAAAAACTCAAATGTGCCTGCCCATGATGGGAGCGTTTAGGCCTTTATTATAATAAACACAACTTGGGGGAGGGGGGAACGTTTGAGTGATTTTGTGCAAAACATTAATGAGTAGACCTACGTCTTTTTAAAAGCCCATGCAGTAATATTAAGCGGCGTCGTTTAAGAGATTTTCCACATCTCTCCCCACTACCCTTTCCATTAAGAGCGATTAGATGATGTCCATTGAAAGTTGCTGATCCATAGAGAAAATGGCAGTGGATAAAAGGCGATTTCAAGTGACCTTCTCGTCCCTTTCACACCAATCTGAGCCCCCAAATAGTTAGGGATCAAATTGAACAAAAGCCCCCTCCTCTTCCCTTTCAACTACTCAAAGTGACAAAACCCACCATCGCATTAGAGAGGCGCGCAATGTGTTTAAAATTGTGAGATTATTAGAGACAGCAAGATATACCTTTAACCAAGTAGCCTAGAACAAAATGTCTGTCTTAACATTAAATTTGTTTTCTTCAATACAACAGTAATAACCGATATGTTTAAAACTATACCATAAGCAAAGCGCTCCAAACTGTTTATCACATTTAATTTCTCCGCAATTTTTAATTAAAAAGTGTTATTTCAGGGTAGTGATCATCTACTTTACTGACAGTTTTGATATATTGCTTGCTGATTACTTTTTTTGTTGATTACTCAGTATTTTTACAAGTATATTTTTGTCTTGTTTATTTGCTATTTATACCTGCCTATATATTTAAACATATGCAAACATACAACAATTGTATAATATAAGTGATGATTATTTTAAAATTGAAATTAAATTAATTAAAATAACATTTTAAAATGTGCTCATTGCAGGCCTGGTAAGCAACACAGACAATTCAGGCATGTCTTTAATCTAAATTATCCAGTCATTGTATACTAGCAGTTTAGCTTCAAGGGAAGCTTTAGTGTATCTGTACACAGACTCGGAGAGGTTATAAAACCTAACCCTTTATTGTGGTTAATGAAAATTGCGTTTACTTTTATACCTGCAAAAAAAACTGTAAATAGTCTATAACTAAACAGAAATTATACAATTTATAAATATTTTGTTTTCATTGGGACTTTGGTTAAATGTAGCTCCAGAGGTGTCTGATAAAACGAGGAAAGGAAAATATTTTATCCCTGCTGTGTTTTTAGAGTTTATACCATCTAACCCGAGCGTATTTACATCCGTGCTTGCTTGGTAGGAGGTCCGCCATTCGTGGGATTTTATTACTCGAGCAGCTCTTAGGGAGCATGCATTAGACTAAATGGTATATGTTGTTTATTGCTATTTTAATCGAGGTTGCATGGTCATTAAGAAATATATCACAATATTACAAATTGCATGAGGTGCTTTGAAACGATTAATTGTTATTATTATTATTATTATTATTATTATTATTATTATTATTATTATTATTATTATTGTTGTTGTTGTTGTGATTTTATCACACATAATAGCATAAAGAGGCATCTCTTGAACCATCATTAATTTAAAAAAGGTAACAGTTTGGTGATCACAGTATTATCCAATAAATTAGCTAATTTCATTTATATTTCATTTATATTTTTTTTATAATGCTAATTATCCCTCATAATGTCATGTGGAACATTGCAACTAACTTTTTGAACATTGTCTTGCACTTTATTTTATTTACTCTCTATCAATAAAACGTTCATTACAACTCATGACAATTTTTTTTTTTTTTTTAGAATGAACTCACTACAAGGCCTAACACACACACACACACACACAATATGATAAAAAAAAATGATAGCTGGACATAGGCTATATAGTGAAATGCACTCTATATATTTTGTTTGTGCTATGATTAACTTTAATTATTAAAGAAAGTCACGAGAAAAGAAGAGACTGACATATCTCAAAGCTTTTTAAAAAGTACTTTACTTCTTTCAGCATATTTTTTGCTTCTTCTCAAAACTGTTTAAATGTTTCTGTAGCTCGCGTCAGCACTACTTTATTCTGAACAGGTCTATTGTATCGTCCTTTAAATCCGTTGACATTATCACTTCTTAGACAAACAGACTGCTATCGATCTTTCCATTACGAGATCATACATGACGAATAAACACAGGTGAAAAGGCGTTTCTTAAGGTCAAACGTTCAGTCATGTTCCGCATCACTACAACGTTAGCGTTTTTTTTTTTTTTTAAGATTAAGTAGGCTAGTGGAAGTGATCGATAGAATTCTGTCCACCGATCTCCCGTGTTCTGTATTCGTATTTATTTCACCTGACAGTCTCACGTTCTTAATTTGATAGGTTTTTTGAGGTTTTAGTTTTATACACGTTTACGTACATTGCGAGATTTTTATAGCCTATAAATTTCAACTAATACTGGAATTGCAGAAAGTGATAAAAGTACTTGCCTTTCAAGTATGGACCAAACTGAGAAACCGCCGACCCCAAGTAATACGCACCAGTCGCTGGGCGCTCGCACTTTGAATGTCCAAGTGTCCACTTTACCATTTCTTCAGAGCTGTTTTCATGCATGCCTTGTGTTCCCATTCGCTGTCCCTCTCTCCCCTCTCGCTCTCTTCCCTATCTGTGGAGTAAAACCTTGATGGTACACTTACAGAAGTTTCTCTTTGTTCGTTTTAATCTTATTCGTTTCACCTTTGCAAAGAACAGAGGACAGCAGCGTGCGTTTCAGCGGATTGGTGTGAGCAGAGACGGAGGAAGCTCCGCGGTCGAGTTGAAAACAGGCTACCTATTAGTAAACTGGGTTTCTTGAACGGTCGGGTGTTGGTGTTTTGCTTCCTCTTAACTTTTTTTACACACTTTTGGTCTTCTGGTGCAGAGTTGATATATGAGAAAGTTCTAGTGAAAAAGTCTGTCGGATGATAAAAGCTACTATGAGGTTTATTTAATGCCTAAAAGCATTTTTAATTGCCTTTTCCTGGTTATGTCAACTGGAAAGAGGCCAAAATAGTTTCTCGCAAAATCAAATATTTCTAAATGCAGACACTGTTAAATAAAACCAGACTTAATGTTAAACAAATTGCACTATCGTGATCAAAGTAAGACGTTTAAATTGTATGTGTCTTACAAATACATCAATAAAATACAAATCAGAAAACATTCATCCCAGAGCGCAATTTAACTCTGAGCTACATTTGGAAACATGCTTAAAATGACAATAAATTACTCATTTTTATGTCGCTGTAATTGTCTACTGTACGCTAGATGGCAGCCCGATCCAGACATTACAAGCCTGTACAGCGCAGCCTTTGGCATTCATGCACAAAAGCCGGTTTCCCTGCGTATAACAGCCTACCAAAAAAACTTCCCTCGTTAATAAACCTGTTAAAACATACATTAAACGATGAATTTTCATACTTTGCACTATTATAATAGTCTAATTCCTCTTTTGTGCCCTGGCTGGCTGTTTGACCTGTTTCCTATCACCGATAAAGCATTCCGTTATAGCCTACTGATATCTTTCCAGTCAAACTAGTGATAGTCATCGCGCGTCCCAATACTTTTTCTATTTAATCGTTTTACTGAGGACTGGGTGTATTAGTGACATGTGAATATATGGTTTATGCATTGATACGCAATTTCGAGCCGGTATTGTTCTGTCAGATAGCATAACATGTTAATGGGTCCTTCACAGTTCAAATCTGGACATTGTATTGGGTAATTTTTTTTATTAAGACTACAGCTTAGAACAAAACACTTTCAACTTTGTGTAGCTCGCACCAGTCCTTCCGCCTCACGCGCATTTGTTTATATTTCACGTGCGCGTATAGTTCGCTCATTGCTTTCATCCCGTTTTTCGCCGCTTCTTTCTGGGGTCTCTTCCTCTTTTTGTGACAATAGACGGTCCATTCTAATCGGGTTTCAAAGTAAATAGCAGCGCAGCGGCGAGCGCAATATAAATTGTGCTTGTCAGAGCCCTCAGTCGTAGGTAGCGAGAAGCGAGGACTCTAACCAATAGAGTGAAGGAGGCTTGGCTAACCTTAGCCTCCCATTTTCTCTCTCCCCCCTCGATGCAGGGTTCTGACCAGTCAGTCGCCTTTGATTATCAGTTGCCAGCAGCCCCTCTCTTGGCTCCTTGACACGAGCACCATATAAGGCGCAGCGATCTCCATAGAAACGTGTCAGTTTCAATAGTAGTGTCAAAGTTCACTATATACAGACATTCGCGCAGATCTCCGTTTCGGAAACATTGCTCCGCTTGTACTCCCGTTAAAACGCATTCTTTTTTGGGTCTCTGCTTCTTACATATTCCATTCGTTTTTTTTTCTCTTTTTTTATCCTTGCTCTGTTCCTACTGGAGAGGTGAAACTACATAGGCACTCGGGCGACGTTTTTTCTTTTTTTTCTTTTGTTGGACCAGATGAGCTTTATTCATGAACATAGATAGAGAAATCCGTTCTTCAGTGTTTCCTCCTCTCCAGCCGCGAATACGGAGAGAGGAGCAAGGAAGAAAAAAGAGGGGAATTTATTTTGCTTGCCACTTTGGATCTCCGGTCCACCAGAAAGCTATTATTTTTGCTTCAACGTGAAGATTTTTATTGCGGTATTTTTTAGGAAAACCGATTTTTTTATTGCGTCTGGGATCGCTTTCTCTCTTCACGATTGGGCTGCCGAATGGCTGACTGCAATTTACCTTGGAACTGGCCTCCCGACAATTGCATATCCTGATCGGGTGCCTTTCTATCGACTCCGGTATTTTGAATGTATTGATCGTTTTCTGCTTCTACTTTTTTTCTTATTAGATTGCGTTCTCCGGTCTGAATTCAGAATTCTGGACAGAGTCAGCAGCATATAGAATGTGTTGTTTGCGGGGACAAATCAAGCGGCAAGCACTATGGTCAATTCACCTGCGAAGGATGCAAAAGTTTCTTCAAGAGGAGTGTCCGAAGGAACTTAACATATACATGTCGTGCCAACAGGAACTGTCCTATTGACCAGCACCATCGTAATCAGTGCCAATATTGTCGGCTGAAGAAATGTTTAAAAGTGGGCATGCGGCGGGAAGGTGAATATATTTTTCTGAACACAACATCCTATTGCTATACACAGGTTTATTGTTCAGAGATATGTTACATAGCCTAAAGCTCGCACTGTAGCTACACATACAAACGCGAAATAAATTTGCTTTGATTGCTTGCTAAAGAGTGTCAGAGGGCGTGTACAAGCAGTAGCCTAGTAAACACGCGAGCATAGCCAGGATCAGGATCTTATAACAGTAATTTTGTTTGCATAGATAGGCAAGCATCATATGCACCCATTTCAACTCAGCCAATTACATGAGATATTAAAAAAAGAAAGAGAAAGGAGAGATGAAGTGTGTGTTTGTGTGTGTGTGTGTGTGTGTGTGTGTGTGCGTGCGTGCGTGCTGGAAGAAGGACAAGACTGCCGGAAAGCCTACTACACTCACTAACCCCATATTGTATACCTAAAAGAAATAATGGGCAATAGTTTTATCTCTGAAAGTAAGATGTGTGGATCTGTTTTACGCCGTATCCTAGATTAAACGTTTAGAGGCCTGTCTGTCCCCTCTCAGCCTAAGCTGTATGCGAACAATGGCCTTTGCAACTTACAGTCTACTGTTAATAACTGACTAGAACAAAACTGCTATTTATACCCCCTATATTGTTTAAAAATAATAATTAGTTCAACGTAAGTCTGTGCCTATATATATATATATATATACAAAAATGCATATATATATATATATATATATATATATATATATATAATATGCATTTTTGTAGATGTTTTTAGATGCTCAAAGTGACTTTCGTTTAATTCAAGGCAT